TGACCATGTCCCATTTAAGCAGCTAGTGGGCGAGCTTGTCTTGGGTCTTCCACAATTTACATTTCAGAAGTATTGTTTATGCTGTATTACCTGATTGGCTAAATATTAGCAGTATACTTTACCACTATATATACGTTTCAGTGAGCAAGCCTGCACTGCACTGCCATTGGCATCATACAATACATAGTGTGACTGACAGTGTGCAGTGTGGATCCCTGATAACATTCCTACGCTAGGTTAGGGCAAATTACACTCCTGGGCAGCAACGGCCACCATTAATACAGCTCCTCTACTGATACTGTTAGCACCATGTCTATGTAAGTTTATAGGCAGAGCAAAAACCAAGAAAATTATGGTGGGTAAAAATTGTGATTGAAAACCCCTTCCACCTGAAGTCAGTGGATAGTCAATGCATTGTTAAACACAGATCTGCACACTAGTCAAGCCATAAGACTTGCTTTTCCCACATAAATGTCCAATTTGCAGTAATGTTGCTACTGCAAAGGATTCTGGGTGGGCATATGCAAATTGTTCAACAAAGAATCACGTTTTTGCCTCATTATTCATTTTAAACATGGATTCTTTGAAGTTTGTTTTTGCTGTATACAGCAGCTTTGAAACACAACTCAGGAAGAGGTATATAGCCAGTGAACCACTCATGGACAGCTGTTTCGTCATGCAACTCATCAGCATGAGGTTGGATACTGACTTGCTATTAAGGCTTGGCGTTACTTATAGAGAAAAGAAACCAAGAAAATTATGGTGGGGAAAAATTGTGATTGAACATGTGACTCTTTGTTGAACTAATTTGTATATGTCCACCTACCCAGTATCCATTGCAGTGGCAACATCACTGGAAATAGGAGATTCCTGTGAGAAAAGTAAGTCTTATAGCTGGACTGGTGTGCAGATCTGTATTTAACAATGTATTGACTAATGTTTACATGTAAATTAATAAGGGAAATCATTATAATATTAACACACTATCTCATATACAAAGGATGTATAAGACTTCACTCTTCACAGGTACTGCAGAGATTTAAATACATTGAAAACATTGATGATATATGGATATATGACATGATTATGAATGTCTTCATTACCCTGAGATGATGTCATCTTCTTCGAATACATTCATCAGCATTATACACCTTTAAATTACATAGATTTATTTCTGACAAAAATCTTTTTTATTAACGTTCTAGTCTAATTCCTGGCCTTTCTGCTGCAGTGAATGCAACACACAGACACCAAGACCAAAATAAGAAGTACAGAGACTTTACACCATAGTCATGTGGTTCCCAATTAATAGCTTTTTATAATTCTTCTTCTTGTGGAAAATATAACATTTTCAAAAATTACATGTATTTAAATGAGATACAATCATTTACATTCTAGACTAATCTTTTTAATTGTATCTTTGCCCTATCTCAAAATATGTCAGTTGGTGCCCGTTGTGTGAACCCATCCATATCTCGAACTCCTTAGTGACAAATGAATTGATTTGATTAAAAAAATGGTAACACTATCTCATCAGGCATGATAATGCCTCTAAGTCTTGCAAAGCACATCGTTGTTAGTCAGAGCGCTCCAGCACAGTCAGTGACAGGCACAGGTGAAAGCAATAGTCATTTAGGTCACTAACTCTCCAAACCAGACTCTAGGGATGCCTGCAGGTGGCACATTTACTCTGCATGAGTTTATGCAGCTAGATTACGGTGTCAGCCTTTCATCGCTGGTTGCATCAATTACACAACATTTTGGATGAAGATATCTGTGAAAGAAAGTAACACTGTAGTTGTGATAGTAAAGAAGCATTTCATATTATTTCTGCTGTCATTTGTATGTTCTATTCTAGAAATGTGCATTCATTTTTTCTGAATTGTGATTCATTAGAGCTTTGGACGATCTGCAAGTTGTCCGTATTCCAAACCCCAGATTGCCATTTGGCCGAACCACAAAACAAACAAAACAAGGAATGCATGAGCCATTTCATTTGTTTTCTAATTTTGGAGTCCCAGCCATGGCACCAGAAAAAGAGGGAGGGTATGGAGAGGAAGAGAGAGGAGAGCAAATAAGCAGCTTAATTTACCATAATGGACAAGAGGTCTGCCTAATGATATACAGTATAATTGAAGAATTGTTTTAAAAGCAGTTCTTTAACAGTGGATGAGCAGTTTGCAGTGCACTATATTCTGTGCGCATTATAGTATTTATAAAATCTTAAAACACAGCAACATAATAATATTACAGTAGTAGTAAATCCCCCAAGCAATAAGCCTTTTTTAACACAATCAGGCAGGGTGAAACCACTACAATGAAAGACGTTTTAAAAGATAAAAGGGAGAGCAGTAGCAGGAACAGTACATCCTCCACTTCTACCACCCATTGGCAGAGCAGGAGGAGAGTTGAGGAAAGTACCAGTAGTCGAGCGTGGCAGTCTGGACAAGTAAAGTTTGTTTAAGTATATTTCAGGATAATTTGTTAAGTTATAATGAGTTAATATAGAAGGTTAAATAAAATTCACCTGCCTGATTGCGGAGCTGTTCTCTGTAGAGGGAGCCCTTTAAGCAGTTGATACAGGCCCTTGCCCAAGACTATGTTATTCCCTTATGATCCTTATTCTGTAGGAACATAGTTCCATCACTGTGCTGTTCCTGGATGACAATAATATTGAAGAGGGAGTATTATAAACATGTAGGTAAGTTGTACTTCACCACAGATTAATGGAGTGCTCCAAGGAATGATGCTAGGGTAAAAAAAAACACCAGGAGTTTGAGCTCCAAAGTAACTGATAAAATAATGAACTCTTCCTAAAGCCCCACTCTTTACCCGACACAATTCCATTGATTAACATGCCTCTTGGCACACTCACAGTTACAGACACACACATGAACACACACAAATACTGTAATGATTTCAAATGCCTTTTGGTTCTTTTGCCCTGCCTTGCGCAGACTTGTTGGTGTGACTACACCTGCTACCTTTGCAGACGCAGTTAAAATAAGGTGATAGGGTACTGTTTTTTTCCACAGAAATGGATAGTCTCTCACACAACAGACTGGATATATGGGAAAGCTTGGTTCTTCTCTGTATGAATGGGTGAGTGGGTCATCAAGTGTCCACTCACTTTTTCCTTTTATTTTTCAAAAATCCCCTTTTTCAACTTGAACTGGCTCCTGCTGCTCTTTCTCTTTCTTTTTTTTTTTTTTAACAGAGATAATAATATAACTTTGACAAGTCACAATTGGCGTTGCATAGGCAATATTGGAACCATTTTTGCATTGCAGTACACTAAAAGGTATCTTTCCACTTTTGGTTTGTCAGAATAGCTTTGCTGTAATGATTGCCTGAACAAAGTTTGTCTGAACAGAAACACAAAATGAATGAATTTTGCACCATCTAAACTATATTTTAGTTTACTGTCTACTTTAATCATCATTACAAATGATGCGTTTTGTATAGTTCTGTCATTGAGCCCATTATAAGTGTGCCAGTTCTTGGTACCAGTCTTCATTAGGACATATCCCATGAAGCCTATAGTCAGTCACCAATCCCTCAGCAGATGTATAAGCATTGTGGGTGATATAGTTCAAGAGCATTGGAAGTAACTGCCCAGCATTGAAATAATACAATTAAAAAGTAATATAGATTACTCGGGACAACCACTGCCCGCACCCCTACCCGGCGGAGAGAGCTAGCACAACTTATGTTTGCACTCAGCGAGCACGCACATACCCCACTAACAGCCACAGAGCAGACACTGCACGTACTAGGTGAATGGAACTCTACTCAAGCCACCTAACGCCGAGAACGCTGGCAAACACCAAGAGACCACTCCTCCGAAGCCCACCACCAAAGCTCACATTAGCTAATACCCCCACCTAACGAATGACAAGGGCAAAGGTTGATAGGTAACCAGCTCCACACACTATCGTCGTCAGCCAACAGACCAAGACCAGGTGGGCACAAAAGGCTCTCATGTGATGCTGGTGACAATATCTCTGTTTTGTAACGTGCCTCTCCCCCACCCCTCTTCTTTTTTCTGTTTCCCCCAACTTTTTACAGTGTACACCCACTGCTGTTGAATACTATATGTGATATTTGTGAGAAATAATCTGCAAAAACTGAAAAAGAAAGAATGTTAAAAAAAAAGGTAATATAGATTTAGAATCAAGGCAATTTAGATGAAGCTTTCACACTGCTCCATTCTGCTGTTGGTTAAAGAAGTGAGGTGATTTCTGATTGTGCCGCACAATGTGAAACATGTAATTTTTCTTGTCTCAAATGGACCAAAGTCACTCATATTTTCTTTCAATGAAACGTTTGTAAATATCGTCTATAATTATTTGAAAGCATCCAGACTGTATTTAAAGATACCTACTTATTTTAATAAAGAAATCTTGAGTGATAGGCAATGAATTCCATTTATTTAGTGTTCTTACTGCATAGAACCCTTTTTTCTACTTTATAGTATTCTATCCAGTATCTTTATTGGATGCAGATAAAAAAAAAAATAAGGTGATAAATGCACCAAAATGGGCAATAAATATAATTGAGACTGCAAGATATTCTAACCTCTTTGAATCGACTTATTGTATGCCTTGATTATTTTTCTTTTTTTATGTGTAATCTAGAGGTCTTGACCACTGAGAGTAAAGGTATTAATTATTTTAGATTCATATTAGCTCTTCATTACTTTGTTAGTTTTAAATGTTGTCACAATTTTCGTAAAGTACAGTATTTGGCATTCGTTTAGACATGTGCAACAAGACCACTGCACATATTGTATTACAAGGTTTTTGTAGATTTTGGTGACAAATAAACACCTATTGACTCATAAAACATTCACAGTGATGGGGGCGGGACTTCTGGTCTCACGGAGTAGTCGCATGAGAGCTCCGAGACCGGACCGGACTAAAGCGACAAATTACACCGGCTATCGGACTAAGACTTGACCTAAACGGTGACCCAAGCTTGAGGGGATCTTACCCTGCTAGATGGCGCCCCCAAAAGCACAGCGTGCATCTGACTTTTTCCGCCAAGGTCGTCGAGACAAAACGCGTCCGGAACAAGATGGCGGCGGCTCACACTCCCCAATGCCTGCCTCAGATCAGGGATCAGACACAGAAGCCCTTCAGCCTCCCACTGGGGATATCTCCATATCAGAGACAAAAATGGCGGCAGAGCTCCTGCATGAAGGAGGACTTACAACTGGCGGTGAACGACATCCGCAGAGAGGTGCACTAGGTGGGGAGCCGCCTCAACGTCCTTGAGGAGAAAATGGATGACCTATGCCAGGCTAACAACGGCTTTTTAGAGAAAATCTGCACAATGGAAGCAGAGCAAGCGCGCCTAACAGCCAAACTAGCGGACCTGGAGGACCGATCGCGCCAAAACAACATCCGGGTGCGCGGAGTCCCTGAGTCTGTCTCGGGGACAGACATCCGAGAGTACCTCCAACAACTTTTCAAAGCTATCCAGCCAACTCTGGAACTGACAGACTTGCGCTTAGACAGAGCGCACAGAGTACCCAAACCTGCTTTCCTAGCACGCGACATACCAAGAGACATTGTCACAAGACTCCACTATTTCAGCACCAAAAATGCTACACTCATGGCGCAGCGCAAATCTACAGCAATGCCATCCGATTATGACGGGATCTCCCTGTTTGCTGATCTGTCCCCTATGACAATGGCGAGAAGAGACTTTATAAATGTCACTAAATGCCTCTGCAACCGCAAGATTCCCTACCGCTGGGGCTTCCCCACGAAATTGCTGATCTGGCGAAATGGATCCCTAACAAAACTGGATGACCCTGACCAAGCCTGTGGACTCTTCCCAGACAGAGTGTCGACCAGCAACCCTGCATCCCCGGGACATGTGGCCCAGGAGTGGACCAAAGTCCAAAGGAAAAAAAGACTGTATTGCTGTGACCCTCCACACAGCAACGTACCCTATACGATGAAGACATCACCTCCTCCGTAGGGGTAAAAGACTCTAGATGGACATATTCCCCCTTTTTTCAGGGAAAAGCTTAAACAAAGTTTTGTATAATGAACCCCATGTGAGTACGTATGATAAGAGGTGACCCACAGGCCCCCCCATAGCCGAGACGCTGATGCCCAACATGCTGCACTTTACAACCTTTGCTATATGCAGCCTCCACCGGCAACAAGGCTGGCCTTAATTCCCGGCTGTCCTGACCAAAGAAATCCCTGTGTGACCCGGGGCGCCCTGCTGGCATGCCTGGTGGCGCGGCCCACCTAACCGCGATTAACAGTTATATCCCCGCCAAACAGCAGTGGTTCCTACACTTGCTACAGTGGCGTGGGAGGCACCAACTGGTGCCCATGCTGGGCCCGACCTAAGAACCTTTACCTCCTTTTGTCCATACAGTCCACCACCCGTCTTAGACCCTTTCACCAAGGCCCCCCACCGAAACGAGCTCCTGCGGTGTTACCCCCCCGAGCGCAGTGGGGAAAGTGTACCCGTGGACCAGTCTCCCCAAAATGCTGTCAAGCTTATTGAACTGTATATACTTTTGTTATGTTCATTGTTTTTTTTCCCCATGTTATGCTCTACCCTTGGTTATGTACCCCACTAGAGATGCCCATCACCCTGGGCTATGGACACACTGGGAAATTAGGGACACAACCCCCCACCTTCCCTGCAACTACTACCTAGGAAAAGGAGTCAGGTTGGGAATTGTCCCCCCAGCCTTAGCTGATGTCTTCCCCGCATCAATTTAATGTCCTGTCCCTAAATGCCCGTAGCCTGAACACCCCACAAAAATGCAGGCTTGCCTTCTCCCAGCTCCACATGCTGCACGCCTCAGTAGCCTACATACAGGAGACCCACTTCTAGGCCACTAGCCCCCCGAAATTGCTCTCGAACCAGGTACCCAGTCTCCTACCATGCCCTATCACCTAACAAAACGAGGGGAGTCAGTATATTATTCCACTCGGATTGGACCTTTAATTGCACAACAGAGCCTAAAAGTGCTGATGGCAGGCTACTGATTCTGGTGGGCAGGCTAAATGATGTCCCCGTAATGCTAGCAAATCTATACGCCCCCCAACACCAACCAATATGACTTTATTATGAAATCCCTGAAAATGCTACACAGGTTAAAGCAGGGCCAAACTTATGTTTGCGGGGACTTCAACTGCGTACTTGACCCAGACCTGGACAGATCAGGCACCCCAGGTTCCCACCCCGCTCCATCTCTTTTGGTGACATGCTCTCTGCCCTCTTACACTCCCATGGCCTTCACGACACATGATGCTCCCTATACCCGGCCACCAGGGACTATACTTTTTATTCGAAAGTCCACGACCAATATTCCCGCATAGACATGTGCCTTGTGAATGGGAAGTCCCTGGACACTCTGGCCAGAGTCACCATCGACCCTATCACCTGGTCAGACCACGCCCCCTTGCTGTCCTCATTTACATTCTACACCTGGTGAGGGGACGAGGCACGTGGCGCCTCAATGAATCGCTTATAGACGGCACTGATCAGGTTGCTGAGATAAGGAAAACCATAGTGAATTACTTCACAGACAACCAGCCCCAAGACACAACCGTAGCCGCGACATGGCTGTCCCTTAAGGCCGTGGTACGGGGAGTACTGATTAGGGCAGGAGCGACACTTAAACGCAAACTAGCGGAGACCAGCAGCGCACGGCTCAGGGATCTGAAACTTGCAGAGGACCTGCAAAAATCCTCACCCGCTGACGTGACCAGACGGGAAGTTAATAAGATCAGAGCTGACTTAGAAACTCACCAACTCCAGCGAGTGGAGAGGGCTCTCCGCAAACTCAAAAGCGAGTACTATAGACAAGGGAACAGGGCGGGGGAATTGCTAGCCGCCCAACCGAAAGACAAAAACGCTCAGATACGCATACCATGCTTAGTGGACGGTAACGGGACAAAACTGACAAACCCCAAACTGATAGTAGAAGAAATTGCGACATTTTACGGTGCCCTGTATAATTTATCGGAGGACCCCCTACAACACCAGCTGACCCCTCTGGAGATAGCCGCCTACTTAGACAGAGTGGAGCTCCCCCAGCTCTCCAGCGACCAAGCCTCTCTACTCAGTAGCAAAATCACTCCAGAGGAAATCTCCAAAGCACTTAGGGAAACCCCCCGACACAAAGCCCAGGGACCGGATGGTTTCTCCACCCACTACTACAAAGTCTTTGCCGACCAACTCCTTCCACACATGACCTCCCTGTTCAACAACATCATGGAGTCAGGCTCCATACCCCCTGAAATGTTAGAGGCCACCATAATTACTATTCCCAAGTCAGGCAAACCCACTGAATTTAGCGCAAATTACTGCCCTATCTCCCTGCTTAACGCAGACACAAAGCTATTTGCCCAAGTGCTAGCACACAGAATACACCCCCTTCCTGTGTACTCTTGTCTCCCCGAACAATCACATTTCGTCAAGTAGAGGACAACACCAGACGGGCACTGGACATAATGGAACTCCCAATGGTACACAGAACACGGAGACTGTTAATGGCCCTTGCAGGCAGTTCCTGGAACTTCAGCCAACTTTCTTCCTCCCTGGTAGAGAACTCCTGAGTGGCAAAATACAAATTTTTACAAATATTGTTAAAAACAAACAATTGGGTCAGCACTTAATAACAGAAAATAATAAACAACAAGGTAGCAACCCTAAGAATGGGGATCCCTCTCAACCCTTCAAAATAACACACAGGAAAACAAAAGAGAGAGGAGGGCTGCGCCACACAAAACTGAAGAGGTAGTACTAAATAGTCTCACCCAACAATATAAATTGTCACATATAAAGATGTTTCTTATCAGGAGGTAGATGCAGCTGTTAAGTTCTTTATACTTGGGGGATGTGGTAGGTCTGTGTGTCTTTGGTTTCCATATGTGGATTGAGAAAGACAAGGCAACCTAATAGTGCAATATGTCAAAGCTTAATGGGACAGAATGTGAATAATAATGATGTTGCACTCACATGTAACAGAGCTATGACCAGCTCTAGTGTATATCACATACAGTGGTACAATCCCCACTTATGGGATATGGTGAGGGTCGTTCACAGCAGATGGGTGTTAGCGCAAAGCAAAGCATTAGCAGCCTCATTACAATAGTAGGGTTTTAAATACTTTTAGATATTCAGGTTTCACACTCATCTATTTCACATAAATGCAGGAATCACTGCACTGGATCATGGTCAAAGGATCACATATAGCCAATATTGTGCCCCATCTGCAGACAGTTCTTCCTCAATAACTCCCTGGAACTCAGTATTCAATATATCATCCATATATCAGCCATCTTTAAATTAATCCTATCGATTTCTGCTCTCCAACTGACTAAGAGTCTTATTACGTTTTTACATCCCTGGTTAATAGGTTGGCGCTTCCTATTGGCGACTTAGGCTATCGCCTAGGGCGCACTGGCCTGGGGGGTGCCAAATTTGAGTGACCGGGTAGGAGAAAAGCGAACAGCGCTCCCCCTTACCTGTCACTCAGTGTAGGGTGGCCGGGCGGCACAGACCACGGTACAGGAGCTTCCGTTTCCTGTACCCGTCTGGACTCACAGGGAGTGCTCACTGAGAAAGCCTGGCCACGCTACACAGGGAGGTAGGAGGCACAATAGGGAGGGGGGTTAGCACCAAGGGGAGGGGGAAAGAGGAACACTAAAATGGGGGAGGGGAAGGAGAGACTACTAAAGGGGGTGGAGAGATCACTAAAGGGGTGGGATTCATTTAAAATCGAAAGTCAAATTACAAAATTTAGGACAAAATAGCAGGTTTGTTAATATAGCTGAACAGAAAACATAGCTGGCTTGGAGAATTTTCACTCTATCTATTTTGGCCTACAATTTGCCATTTCAAATTTAAGGATCAAATTGTCAAAATAGAAAATTCCACAGTGCTTTCATTTTGGCTACATTGGCCCAAAATTTTAAATCATTTTTGAATTCTCCCTTTATGAATAATCCTGTAAATTTCTCCATTTTGTGAAGAGCTCGGAAAACAGCTCAACACATTGATCTTCAGCAGAAATTAGAATTATCATGATGGCATCATTGCTTTTCTTCACACTCAATTCTTATATCCTAATGTATTTCTAAACTACAACAATGATCAGCAGTGTGGCAGATGCAATTGAATGCAATTACATAGAAAATAATGCACTTATAAATCCCAAGGAAGAGAACCAAACTGATGGCATCATACTGAGAAAAAAAAAAGCGTTCGAGGAACCAGACCTATCATTTCATAT